AGCAGCGGTAGGGATGGTGGCCCAAAAGCCCTTTCCTGTGGGCTGGGAGCAGCAGGAGGGATGGTGGCCAGGAAGCCCCCTCCCCTGGACCAGGAGCAGTGGGACGGTGGCTCAGAAGCCCCTACCTCTGGGCAGGGAAGAGCGGGACAGACGGAGGCCCAAAAGCCCTTTCCTCTGGGCTGGGAGTGGTGGGACAGATGGCCTCATTTTACTTTTTTGTTTCTTTTTTACAAAAATAAATATTGTAGCACTTAAAAAAAAAGTTCTACTATGAGCAACACAATGACAGTCAAATGTTGGACAGTTGACATATAACAGTGCAGGCTGGGCCTGCAGATGGATAACTAGAAGCAGGATAAAGTTTAGTATTTATGCCTTTATTTTGCATCTGTCTCCTTTACTACCTTAAAACTTGGGGTCAGATCTTTGTTCATCTCTATCACATAGGCATGTTAATCACTGAAGGGGTATCTAATAACTGATAATACATGATTTATGTTATGTATTGTGTTTAGAGATCCCCCCAAGGCCTCAGGCTTTTTCAGAAGTGGCTGAATCTAGAATGAGTGATTGATTCATGGCGGGCTAGGCCCAAGGGCACTAGAATTAAGGGTGTGAGTACTCCCTACCCTAAGTAGTCTGAATAAGACAAGAGGGGCAGAAAAACACTGTTAAGGTCTCTCGTTGCTTTGCTATTGTCTGCCCACCATGAACTGTTGTCCTTCTGCACCTTCCCTGCTGTGGAGCCAGCTGATTCTGGACTGAAACCTCTATGAACTGTAAGCCAAATAAACCTTTCCCCCCGTTTAATTTTGGGTGTTGGGTATTTTGTCTCAGCAATGAGAAAAGTAACTAAGAAAATTTATTAGCCTTAAACTTAACTAACTTGTCTCACCTTCCTCCCCACTTTAAGACTGAGGACACAAAAATGAAAGTAACTAAGGTATTTTTCAAGATTTGCAGGAACACTCAATTGCCAGTTTTTACAATGTTCTGTTGCAGACCCCCTGGAGCAGCATCTAGAAGTCTCTAGTCATTGTCCTAAACCTGCAGTCAATTTGGATTCCAGGAAAAGCAAAGCCTCATAGAACAGATTACTCCACTATAACATTGCCTCCACTAAATGGGAACAAGTAATCTATGACAGAACTGAGGCTGTGTCCTAAGCAGGGAAAATCATTTCAAGGGAACTGGATTTACTGCCACCTCAAGCCATAAGGACTTCTTTGGAGCCACCTTGCAGAACCAGAGATAAAGATCAACCAGATCATGGCTAGACCTGGATTACCTACCCTGCCAGGTGTACAACACCGCCCCCATATCTTGCTTATGTTCTTTTCTATAAAATTTCAAAGTTTCTATCAGCTTCTCGAAGACGGATCTTGAGCTTCTATATCTGTCCTTCCCAGAATTGGCCACATGGATTAAAGTTCCTTTTTCTGCCTTTAAAAAACAAACAAACAAACAAAAACAAAGAAAGAAAGAAATAGGACACATATGTGTAAATACTGAATAGTTTCTCTAGTGTGAGAAATTGAAAGTGTAATTAAGGATACACACTGATGAAATGACCTAATAACGTATTTCTCAGATTGTGTTTCCATCGCGTGTCATATGACTGTATCAGAATTTAAATTAGGGAGAAGTCTGGCTTTTGTGGAGTCTGCTAACTAACTGGAGTTTTTTCCCAGATCATTACTTGTTCAGTGTTGGTTTTGGGGATCTTTCTGAAACAAATCACATCCTCTGGTGTCTTAGTATATGTGCTGCCAAAGCGAGCACAATCCTCTAGTGTCTTGTTGGTGCTTGAGATGCTTATTTTAAGTTATATGGAAAATGTTTAAGTGCTTTTCAGTCTTGTTTTGGTTGAGTTCTACTGTATTTGAATATTATTGTAGCTTTTTCCCCCTTGCATTGTTCTTCTTTGAATGGTTTTAATTTTTTGTATGTGTGTGTGTTTGATAATAAAGTTATTTTTTTAAAAAAAGCTCCTAGAAAGAAGAAGCTCTGCAGAAAGAAAATTCAAGGCTTAGATGGTTTCATGGATAAATTCTATCAAGCATTTAAGAAGGAAATACTATTACTGAAACTTTTGTCAGAAGCTACAAAAGGAGAAAATACAACAGAGATTATTTTATAAGACCACCATAATCTTGATTCCAAAACCTGAAAAAATTAAAAAAGAATATATTTTTTCAACATATGTGCAAAAGATACTGATACAGAGTACTAAACCTAGATGGTCTCAGTCACAGTTTAAAAATTCTTTCCAAAACTTAATTCCAAAATTTACATTGATGGTATTTGAAGGTGGGGCCTTTGCAAGGTAGTTGGAATTAAATAAGATCATCAGAGTAGGGCCCCCAGGATAAAGGGTGGTGGCTTTATACAAAGAGGAAGAAAGCCAGGCATGGTGGTACACACTTGCAGTCCCAGCACACTGAGAGGCTGAAGCAGAATTACACCTCCAAGGCCAGCCTGGGCAAGACTCAATCTCAAAATAAAAAATAAAAAAAGAACTTGGATGTAGTTTAGTGTGAAAAACCTGGGTTCAATCCCCAGTAAAGAAAGAGAGAGAGGGCCAGGGATTTAGCTCATTGGTTCCACCGCCTGCCTTGCAAACGCAAGGTCCTGAGTTCAATCCCTGGTATCAAAAAAAAAA